GCATTGTCCCCTTGTTTGATCCAATCCGTTTTTCCTATTTTCTTCATCCATGTGATTGTATTTTCTTCTCACCATACAACCTGTTTGTATAACATTTTTCTGTTTACTTTTATTTGATGAAATATGTCTACCAACCACTTAACGTTCCATTGCCATTAGTGGATCTTACTCGCACCAAAATGACTTGCTTTGTTACCAGTGTGTTTAGAATCCAGAAATTAAAACCCTTCAAAATAATGACAAAAAACGCATTTTGTTCAGTGTGTAACATGTTTATTTTGAGTTCACAAGTAACATTTATATTTTTCAATAAAAGCGGAGTATGATAAACATTCATACTATACTTGATTTCACTGGCTAATAGATGTTATTAAAACATTGTTTAAAAATAATATAAAATTAAAGTGCATAGAATATGCGTGGAGCATTTTAAATTTATATAAATATATTTGCCACTTTTGCCATGGAAGTACAAATTGTAGTATTACTAATGAAAACAAATTATTAATAATCATAATCATTAATATTAATGCATGCATTTTACATAAATGATCAAGGCACAAGCACATCCAGAGCAGGAATTATTTATCAAAATTCAAGGTAAATATGAAAAAAAGTATTTAAAAAAACATTATTATGTTATTACCATAATAACTCTGGTTTTGATGTGATAATTAAAGATATATTATTTTTAAAAATATAGATAGTAATAGCAATAACTTTTCAACATTAAAATAATATAAACAAAATGGACAATAATCATCTAGCGACAATAATATTAATAGAAAAAAATATAATAAACAACATATAAAAGCTAATGACAAGATACATATTTATTATAAGCCATCTAGTAGTTTATAGTGTCCATGTCAAAGGTCAAAGCATAAACAAAGCATACTGTGTATGCTATTTTCTAAATTTTATTAATGAATAAGATGTATTAACAGCTACATAATATTTCTTGCACTATTGGCTACTATTGTATTGAAACATCTACTAGTGTTGGTTGAGGAATATTAATACACAGCACTGGTCATTACATTACATGTCTGGTTGTCTGGAAAAATTATAATTGGTGGTAAATTCAACTGACATGTACAGCTTGGTTTTCATGCAATCGTTACACGCTATGCTGACAGCTTTCGGTGATGTTGTTTGGTCAGAATCGGGGGAGCCTTCCCATTGCATCAGGGATTGTTGGCAGTACAACAATTGCTTTGAAAACACCGTAATGACAGTGTAGCGATTTTAAGAAAACCAGGCTTAATGGCTAATGAAACATTAACAATTTTACTTTTTTAAATTAAGTCATATTATTGTTTGTATGACTTGAACTATGACATACTCATGAGCACTAGCAAATATAAAAAAGGCTTATTACATCATACATTGTCATAGCCAGCATTCTAACAATTTATTACTAAGCAGACTATATGTAAGCACCAAGAAGAATAGATTTGTATAAATAGAATTATATAACTATATAATAGTAGAGGTAGAAATTATACAAGTTTTCTACTACCACTTACAATGAGTATTATTGATTAGCACCTAGATATAAATATCAATTCTACCTAATTTTTTTAAATATACAAATTCAATAATTTACTATCAATTAAATAACATTGTCACAATTATTTCAGGTCGATTATGAATATCAATTTAGGAAAACATCAACATACAACAATGATATGCTCAGGGAAAAGTTAAATTGGTATGATCATGGTATGATACGACGTCGATCACCATGAGAACACGATGCAGGAAGTATTAGATCGTGTAGTTTACACAATAGTGAGCATGCGCAAAGCAATTGGGTCATCGTAATTAGTTTAGTAAATCCTTAGTAAACTGTTTATCAGTTGATTATGATAAGAGCAGCGGCACCGCGGTTATAACCTTTGATGTTCGGTTCGAGATGTTTCCATGTAATTTAACTGTTCCCTGGTATGCTTTAATATATTTTTAGTATAAAATAGCTTCATAACATTAAAGAAGCATTGTATAAAATGTGTGAATCACTAATTTTTTATGAGTAGTGAATAATTTCAAACCTTGATATATATGTTATTATATTTCCATACCTCTTTGGTTTTGAAAACAAAATATTTTTCATATGAACCAACACATCTTCAGCTTTTTTTTTTATTCCATATTTATCAAATACACACTTACTACTTTTATTCTAAGGTGATAACAATGTATAGTTCTTACACAAAACTCCTTCTCTGGCTCTTCAACTATTACAATTCAATTAGTTACAAATCAGATTTGTTTAGTGATTTTTCGTGTTATTGTTACTTGTTCAGTTCAATATTTTGAGGTAGTGTATGTACCTGTACTATTGTGTATTAAAAGCAAGTAATTAATTAGTTTATCTAATTAATTTATTATACTACAATTGGTCTTTATAGTTTGTATAAGTTATTGTTTTTGGAAAATCCCTGAAAAATATTCCAAGTTTTGATCACAATCATGATTTTGCCTGAAACATTATTTTCCAGTTCTCTTGAAAATGAACATAAATAATATTTGAATCTACGATTCATGTTGTATCATTAAAATGCAAAAATAAATTCAATAAATATACCAGAATCAAGATAACATTATTAATTACATTCCTTGATGGATTCATGTTGTATCATTAAAATGCAAAAATAAATTCAATAAATATACCAGAATCAAGATGATAACATTATTAATTACATTCCTTGATGGTACAGTACAAACATATACATAAAGCTTATTATTTAAAGATTATTATGTACAGTACATTAGGGAACATTTACCAATTTTGCAATAGTACAGGCATACATAATGTTTATATAAATGCAGATAATAGCTGCCATCTACATATGTGAATATTACAGTATCTTTATGTTCTTTAGTCTTAAAATGTAAACCACCATCTCATCCCACACAACCTTAGAACCTCCATCAATGTGATTTGCATCATATTTTACATCACAACCATCACAAAGTTGAACAGCAGACCTAAATATTTTTCAAATCATCAAATATTTAACATATTTTTTTTATATATTTTTATTTTTAATCATTTAACATTTGGCCTCTAAAACTGTATTTTCTACTTTGGTCCAGAACGTTCTTCTCTAAATAAAGAAATATTTACTATAACAAGAAGATGCTTCACAGCTCAGAGCCTCGATATATTTTTTAATTAATTTATCAAAAACAACATTTTATATTTATTAAATGCCAAGTAACTCATCAATATGGAAGTGACATATTTTTATGGTTTACAGAACTAACATGTTTTCTTTTTTGGTTGTGAGCAAAACTCCTGGTATGTAACAGGACTCAAACCCAAGACACTTTGATAAGGGCAGGCACCCACATACAGCACCACTCTGATGATAAACAATCATCAACACAGCATGATAAATTCTATTCAATGTTTGAGTAAGAATCTTGATTTCTGCTCAATCCATAAGATTAATATAACAAACATTTATTACAGTTTATATAGAAGATCAAGATCAACATAGAGAGCTGTTCCAGTTACTAGAACCTTTGACTTGTCTGGTGTGAGTATCGAGCATTGCAGGTAGTTTTTGCACCCATCAGTTCTCTCCAGCTTTGCTTCCACTCGCACGGTTGAGCCTATAGGTACAGGTCTGTGCAGACAAAATTTCATTAAGATTATTTCTTAAATTTACAACATCTAGATTAACAAACATGGAAATTTATATAAACAAAAAAAAGAAGCAAATATCCAAAAAAAAGTATCTTTTATTTTAATCCCTGTTACGGCTGCAGTAGCAAATGATGTACTGTACCATGAATAGCAACGACCTTTAAAGCAGCTAAATACTATTCTTGCATATGATCGAAAGAGACCAATCAATGAAGGATATGCAAAATAGGGTGCAGTAGCGATGGTGGGTATTACAAGTATTTCAACATGGTATAGCAATAGAAAAGGAAGACAACACATCATTGATTGTGGGAACGTTAAAAAGAAAACAGAATGAATGATGATAAAAAAAAATACTATGACTATGAGGACAATATCTTACAATTTGTACTTGATGTCTAGATGAGCAGTAACAGCTTTTTTGTTTGCACCATGTTCCATCAGAACTCCAGTAACTGAATCAAGCATGGTTGCAGTAGCTCCACCGTGAACAAGTCTGTAAGACGCAAGGATGTGATAATGTCAGGGACTGAAGAAATATAAACAGTACAGAGGATACCCTAAGCTATCCATTCTCAACTATTTATCTGAAATCAGTGTTATGAACTATTTAAACTATTTTATTTATTTTCAACTATTGATACGCTCTCTCACTGTAATTTTTATTCTATTTATATATATATATTTTTGTACTGATTTCAGTAAAAAGTCGCATAAAATAAAATAAAATAAATAAAATAATTTCGGAGAAGAGAGGTCCTATAAAAACTATGACTAGAAACCTATTCCTCGAGCACAAATAGCAAACCTTATGACGAATATTGAGCGTTTTTTTTTTTATTATGACTAGCAAATCCTTTGTGTGATAAGTTAATGCTTTGACTAGTAAACCACATGGATAATAAAACTTATGAATATTAACCCTAAAAATAGGGTGTTGACCCCTAACAGGGCCTTTTAACGTTATCTTATGGCATAAATAACACTTTCCTTGAATATTTCCAAGTCCAAAATGCATGTACAGTGTATGTTTATGGGTGTGAATGCATATGTACGGTAGAGCATAATGCTTACCCATCAGGTCCTTGGGTGTATGGTCCAAATTGACAGATTCCCCTCATTTCGATGGTTTCTTTATTACACAGCCATGCATATTCAAATGCTGACCCTGGGCCTATTGGTAATCGGGTAAACATCTTCCTCGGAAATTGTTTCTTAGTACTAGCAACAATTTTCCAAGAGCTGGCGTCTGTTTCATCCTGAACCTGCTTAAAGAGAGTTTCTGATTCTTCAGTCCAACCAGTTACTGGATCGGCAGTTGGCAAGCAGTCGGCTTTACATTTTTCAGGCAGTTGGTTGACACGGTCATTAACATCAAAGAACAGCGCTGTTCCCGTGTCATACAGTATAGATTTATCAGCACTCTTCAAGTCACACGAGAGGAAGAACTTTTTGCCATCCCTCTTTTGTAGATGGCATTCAACAAAAACTGTTGCTCCTACAGGTAATGGTCTGACATTTGGAAGAAATATCAAACAAATGATAAATAGAACTAAAATATCTTATCCTTCTTTTGGGGTATCAGCTTGATTAGGTCCCAATCCGACCAAGTACAGCAAATCCACCAGCATTGTATATTTCAATATCAGCACTTATCTGTACTGCACCCTATTTATAAGACAAATATTAAAATTTTTAGATAATCATCACAACAATCACCATTTATTATAAACATTTTAATTTACTTAATTTTCATTCATTGCAATATTATTACATAAATTTACTTACTTCTTATAGTTAACTTTGAGATTACCAGTTACAGCTAGAATATCAGGAAACAAAGTAGCTTTAAGTACTTGTGTGGCGCCATCTATAATGGTTGCTATGGCACCTCCATGAACCATTCTAAAGAAAATAAAAAGTTTAGGATCATGAGCAATATGTCAGTGTCAACAAAGAGTAGGAAACATTATTCAAAAATATTATTATTTGCCTAAAAAAAAACTCACTAAAATACAATCCTGTACCCTGGGACTGCATGAGTGTAAACCAAGGTAGTCTTTTACATACTGTGTTTTCTCCTATTAAATGTATATATATATTCTCGCACCTACAACTCAGGTCCGTACGCATGGGGATGTGACGGGTGTGTATGCGCCCCACAAATTACCAAATGTCCATATTTTCAAGGGGTATAAAATTCAAAACTCTTGCACATTTTAGAAATCCATCTACATAACCTTCATGACTAATCCCAGCAGTTTCAAACTAGGAGCGCCTCTAATTCATCGTACAAGCACCAACTTTTAACTGTATTTATATATGCTTTTTGAGGAATTTGAGTGTTTTCCCCGCCGCTTGTGTGTCAATGATTCACTAGTGGCTGATCCATCAATTTGAAATAGAGGGGGCCAGGGAGAAGTTTCACAGATGAAGGATCCACCCACCTCAGCCCACCACTGTTGGGGCTGAGGTAAGAAAAATGATAATTATGGCACCTCTAGATGGTCGAAAATGATGAAAGCAGATGAAAAATGCAAATTTTATTCTTTAATCCAACATGAAACAATAAAACAAACACTGAATAAATGATAGCTTACCCTTCCGCAGATTGTGCATATGGTCCAAATTCACACACTCCCTTTAAGCATTGCTCTTCTGAATTTACAAAGATCCCATACTCATACGCAGCTGGGTCTAACATTGTTAAACGCCCAAAATCAGGCTGAGTTGGCGGAGGGTTCCGAGTTGTCAATACTTTCACCCATTTTCCATCCTTAGTAGTTTCTAATAACGTATTGTACAATTGGAGAGAGTTCTCGCTCCATCCTGGTCTTTCGGTTGTCATGTTTGATATCTGGAAAAGAGAAAAATCATTAAGCATTCATAACTGCTTAAATGTTTTGAATCATTTAAGCAGAAGCAGAATGAATGAGCTTCCTGTTGCCACCTGTGGATTTTAACACTGGCCTTCTGTCTGGTTCTTAATAATGCAGCAAATATATATACTAACTCCAACTGATTCTAATACCGGTATAAGCCTACCTTTTCACTGTTGCTTCCTGCTTCCATGTTTAAATAATATGCACTACAGTACAGCTGTCTCTTATACACATCTAGATGTGTATAAGAGACAGCATGGATAATAAAACTTATGAATATTAACCCTAAAAATAGGGTGTTGACCCCTAACAGGGCCTTTTAACGTTATCTTATGGCATAAATAACACTTTCCTTGAATATTTCCAAGTCCAAAATGCATGTACAGTGTATGTTTATGGGTGTGAATGCATATGTACGGTAGAGCATAATGCTTACCCATCAGGTCCTTGGGTGTATGGTCCAAATTGACAGATTCCCCTCATTTCGATGGTTTCTTTATTACACAGCCATGCATATTCAAATGCTGACCCTGGGCCTATTGGTAATCGGGTAAACATCTTCCTCGGAAATTGTTTCTTAGTACTAGCAACAATTTTCCAAGAGCTGGCGTCTGTTTCATCCTGAACCTGCTTAAAGAGAGTTTCTGATTCTTCAGTCCAACCAGTTACTGGATCGGCAGTTGGCAAGCAGTCGGCTTTACATTTTTCAGGCAGTTGGTTGACACGGTCATTAACATCAAAGAACAGCGCTGTTCCCGTGTCATACAGTATAGATTTATCAGCACTCTTCAAGTCACACGAGAGGAAGAACTTTTTGCCATCCCTCTTTTGTAGATGGCATTCAACAAAAACTGTTGCTCCTACAGGTAATGGTCTGACATTTGGAAGAAATATCAAACAAATGATAAATAGAACTAAAATATCTTATCCTTCTTTTGGGGTATCAGCTTGATTAGGTCCCAATCCGACCAAGTACAGCAAATCCACCAGCATTGTATATTTCAATATCAGCACTTATCTGTACTGCACCCTATTTATAAGACAAATATTAAAATTTTTAGATAATCATCACAACAATCACCATTTATTATAAACATTTTAATTTACTTAATTTTCATTCATTGCAATATTATTACAAACTTTTTGTAGTTATAAGTTATCAAAGCAAATGCAACAAACTGTGCATATCCTGGAAAATGAAGTTAGTTAGTTCAAAGACGTTATAAAAAATCAACGCCTTTTTTCTAATAAAGTATGAGTTATGCTACTGGAATATTTTGTGTGTAATACAAATAAAGGCAATTGCCCTGTTATTTTTTATGTATATGATTTTAATTCAGATAGGACATTCCCTACCACCACCACCACCAACAACAACCCCCTCCCCAACTTATGTCGAAATTTCGACATATTATGTCGAAATTTCGACATAATAAGTTGTAATTACGACATACGTATGTCGAAATTTCGACATAATAAGCCGTAATTACGACTTACGTATGTCGAAATTTCGACATAATAAG